ATCAGCTAACCCATCACACCAAACGATCTGCGTATTTGATGCGCTTGATGAATGCCGTGAGGATGATCAGGTGCGATTGATTGATAAGATCCAGTCTTTTCGCTCTCGGCCGTCAACACAATCTTGGTTGAAAGTCCTAGTGACTAGTCGTCCCTACAAGAATATCCAGAATCACTTTCGAACAATCACGGAACCCTTTCGCCATCTACACCTAAACGGGGAGGAAGAAAACAATCAAATCCGCAAGGAAATTGATGTTGTCGTGAAGATTCGAATAAAGGAGCTGGTTGAAACCACAGCATTGTCATGGAAGGTACAGCAGCGACTGGAGCAACACTTTTTGCAAATAGAACACCGGACCTATCTTTGGCTGGATCTAGTCATTAAAGATATTCGATCCACACTTGAAGTTAGCCCATGGCCTGCAGAAGAACCCATCCCAACGATACCTCGTTCAGTTGATGAAGCATACGAAAAGATTCTTAGTCGAGTCCCGCATGCTCATATCAATACCGTGCAACAGATTTTTCAAATCATTGTTGCCGCTCGGCGGCCCCTGACAATACGGGAAATGGCCGAAATGCTAGAACTGGTTCGGAACCGAGAACTAGAAACTGGGGCACAGGTGAAAATAGACCCAAATGACTTGGAACAGAGCCTACCAGGCTTATGTGGCCTATTTATTTTCATCAACAATTCTAAAATCTACTTGATTCATCAGACAGCAAGGGAGTTCCTTATCTCAAAGGGGAATAAACGACCAGAGCGCACAGAATTCCGGCAATACTTAGATCTCCAAAAGGCCCACCTATTTCTTTCAAAAGAATTGATGGCCTACCTAGACCGGAGAAATCTAACCGAGGAAAAAGAATCCCCTGTGAAAAGAAAGGCGCTGCTAGAATATGCCGCAACCTATTGGGTTGAACATGTGCGTGAGGCAAGAAGCTTGCCTATTGAAGTTCTCCAACGGGCGACAAATCTGTGTAAAAAGAGTCAGGTCAATATGTGGGCTCGATTTGCAGAACCGCAAAAGTCGCACTTGCGCATGCTGTTTTATCATGAGAAACTGCCAGTCTTTTGGGCAACGAGGTGGGGATTGGAACAAGTTGCGAATATGCTTTTAAGGGATCCAGAGTTTAATATCACCGACGTCTTGCACGAAGCCGCAGCAGACCCACTCATAGGAGACACAGTCATGCGTCTCCTACTTGATCAAAGAGGAGACGAAGTTATTATAACTGAAGAGGTAATCCAAAGATCGGTTCAGAATCGGGCAAAGGGGCTTCCGATTATGGAACTTTTCCTAGGTCGAAGAAAACACGAAATTAGGATCACCGAGGAAATATTGCGAAAAGCTGCAAAAAACACAGAAAGCGGGTTCTCCATCATTAAACTTCTTTTGGATCAACAAAAAAACGCAATCAAGATCACGAGTACGGTGATGGAATCAGCCGCGGGGAACACGCGTGATGGTGCAGACATCATCAAATACCTCCTAGATCGAGAAGGAGTTGAACCGAAAATTACACCGAGAGTTATCCGAGCGACCTTGGCGAATGATCCCCCAGAAAGGGAAATGATATTACAGCTCCTACGTTCAAGGAGTTACAAATTTACTTATATGATCAAAAAAACGATACCGCTATCTCAAGGTCGTCAGCGATGCCGCGCGAATAGTGCTAGCAAATGGGACAGATTGATGGGCCAGTACAAAGTTTCAAAGAGGAAATGGAATTGAAATACTGTAAATGTGAAATGTACTGTTGATTGATCTTCCCGTGTGGTCACATTTTCATGCTCATGGCATTTATTATCCCGAACATAAGACATTTACGCGCTAATCACTTGAACGTCACCGCTTCCTAACTTTAGCGGAGTTTTGGTGGCCAGTCAACCTAAAGTCCAATTAGTCATTGCCTTGAGACCATACTGTACTCGAACGTTGAGTTCTCTTCAAGGTATGGCAAATAGTGGCTTGGCGGCGGGGCCGCAGAATAGAAACGCAATGCGTGGGATGGAAGCTGATTTCGCTACCGACTGTAACGTGGGCATTATAAGGACCGCGATAACTTTGGGAGATGAACCCGCGTCACCCCGATGGTGTGTCTGACTTTACGGAACGCGAACCATGGGAACACAAGTCGGATTCGCTCCATCTCCTGACTTTTGTGCTAGCACCTACACAGCGCTATCTACCTTAGGCCCCCTCCGCGTCAAGTGTGGTGACCATGACATCGAATCCATAACCCCATTGATTCCCCAAGTTCTGTGAGTCGCAAATCAGGGAACCCTCGATGATGACCCGTTATGTACTTTGTGGAGTTAGGAGTGACATCCAATAATCCGGAGGCGTCACAGAACACAGCGCCATATGGCTGCTCTCGAGTAAAAGGCTAGAAACAGGTCTTCTACGAAAGACGCGATTGGTATCACCTGGTATATCTACTTCAACGATGACTCATCTCAGTGGATCGTGATATCTGACTTTTAAAGGTAATTTCAGGAAGTAATAGTGATGATTGGGGTTGAATATGAAAAAGTAAGTACATGTAACTTGCTTTGGATCTTCTATCCCACCCGGGGAATTAGTATGTATTGAGCGCGGATCTTGAATTTTATATAACTGCTAACTGAGAACTAGACTAGTCATGTACAAAGGATGCAGCCCAGGCCGTCATGCAGATTGATACATGTTAGGATAAGTGGGGTAGTTAACCCTTGGCAGATTAATTACCTCTGGGCAGCTGGCTCTGTGGGTGTCTTTATACTTATAATTATGGCAATCACACAACCCGCATTTTTTTCGCAATCCCATTCGATACAGTAACACCTATGAATTAACTCAACATTACTGCTCGGTCTTTCGGAGTTTAGTCCAGTGGCTCGACAGGAGGTGTTAGAGCGGCCAAAACTCCGCGGGGGCAAGGAGAAGCAATCTGCAAAACTTCAAAAGTCAGGTGAGACCCTACTACAGGAGTGTGTGTGTGTGAAATCATTTACCCTGACCCCTCGCGAACGATATGCAGGATACGACTACTATATATATCCGTGTACGTACATGTAGAGTGTTCCACTTCCTGAAAACGAACTTAGAGCCTCGTCAAGGCCTGTCGTGGCCTAACTGCCAAATATAAACAAAGGTAAAAAAATGGATAGACTTGGTAAATCAAGGTACCGAGCAACAGCTAACTATTAGTCAGCACTTACACATGGTTGCCCCGCTTTCGAAATGTTTTTAGCTTCGCGAACACTCCCTCCACAAGTAATCATATCACTGTCTCTTGCTCCTTGAGGTCGTTCACATCCATTTTACACCACACCTCCAGCTCCGTGGACCACACAGCTGGTGAATATCTCGATGGAGATCGAAATCAAAAAATTTGCGACAGACGATGAGCTTGTCGAACTCGGCAAAACCCAGGCAAGTAGGTTGGTTCGCTCGTATCCTTTCAATTACTAAGTTGGCACAGCTCCAACAGAACGGCTGCACTATTTCGAGCGAGACAAGGGATATGTCCAGAAATATCTCCGCGCCGGACAACACCGTGGCCTTCATCGCCGACATCAGCTCACCAGGCGGCAAGTTCGTTATCGGGACACACGCACAGGCGCCGTGGGAGAACGGCACCGTCGCAGAAAGGGCAACACAGGGTGATGCGCAAATTCTAATAGGGCCATGGCAGCATGAGTGGCAATTCTATGCAGTCGGTTCGATCAGAATAAGATACCTAGTGAAACGCCCCACCGCTACATAACCTGTTTGCGTTGACTGCGGAAGTAGAGGCAGAGTTGATTGGTGATGGGGATAGTGAGGAATGGATTTGCTAGCGGGTGAAAGGGTTCTGTCAGCAAGAGAGGTCCTGGGCAGCTGAGCTTTTTGGGTGATGAGCCCAGTTGAGAGCTCCAGGAGATCGTCCGGGGTAAGCTCATATACGCTCCCGGTAAGCTCTGGAAATCTGTCAGTCCACCACTCCATCGTTTGTAATCTAACTTACCCGTCTGATATTGCGACTGGGGCGTCAAGGAGACGGCTGTCCGTTGCGAAGGTGTCGGGTCAGTCGCTAACAGTGTGTCGGGTTCGTTAGGGGATTTGCTTGTCGCTGTACCTGCTGAGGCACTTTCGCTGAAGTGGCTGGAATGGTCATCATCTGTCGATTGGTAAGTAGTTTGAACAATTGAACTGACACTGCCTCCTCACCTGCTGGAGTCAGTCGACCCTTAAGATTATGAACGTATTTTCTGATATGGGTGGACAGATGCCATTTTCTCTGCGCTAGGATCGCTGGAAGCTCCTTCCTCCATGTCTTCTTCATTTCCCTATGGGCTGACTTGCCGATGGCAAGGGCAATAATCGCGGTGAGCTCCTCACCACCGATGGCATGAGCCTGCTGCAAAGTGTCGGTATATGGATCCGTGCGATTTTTGTCAGCCACTAGGCCGAAGGCCTCGTGTATGCGCTTCTCATCTCTGGCCTTTATCCTTTGGCCAGCCCTAATCCACTCCACCCAGGCGGCAGACATTTTCAGGGAAGTTTCTCGATCCAGCGGTGCGTAACGAGAGCCCTTTCCTGTTTGATTGGTTTGGTTGCGTGCTTGGGTTACTGATGGGCGATTGTGACGGGGCATTTTGAATGTGCATAAATGGCTGGTTGCTACAAGAACAAACGACCAGTTCGGGGCGCGAACCGGGAACTTTATGAGTTCTCGCTGGGAATTTAGCCCATTCTCGTTGGAAAGGCGGCTATTCCGGTTGGGGCATTCGAGCCAGGGGCTGGTTTCAGGACTCAGCCAACAAAGCCACAGCCACACCTGAGTATGAGTCCGTGCGCGGCAGGATCCTCCAACCTTCGTGATTTCCACGCTCATGCATTTTTGTATCCATCATCCGCCCACATTTATGAACCCACTTTCCCCTCACAATTGTGATTTCTTCGATTTGCCCCAATGTACTCAGTCATCAGTCCGAATTTATCTCGTGCAAGGAGATCTTTGGCAAGAACAATGTCGTCTCTTACTCCTGGGCATGTTCTTCAAGGCGCCTGTTGGAACTATTCCCTTATGGAACATGTCAAAGGAGATCACACGCACAATTCCGACGTTTTTAAGGCCCAGGTTGTTCCACGTGAGAACGCCCGCGTCGTCCCCGAAGTTCCCAAATGGTTTGTTGTATTGCATTAACCATATCCAGACTCTAAGGCTAACTCTGCCACCTAGGGCTTTTATCAAACGGGCGTCTAATTTTGAATATGCAACTGAGAACCTGCCACGTGAGGTTAAGATTTATGGCCTTCCTGGTGTCGCCTCGGCCGAGTGCTTCCGGAAAATGTATGAAAAAATCGACGACAGCACCATCGCTTTGGAATGGTTGGACACTACGCTCGCAGAGGTGGAATACCATCCTGACATGAGAATCTACTCCATCATCAAGTCTGTTTTAAAGGCAGCATTCACAAGTTGTGTCGTTCTGGAGGACCACAAACATGTAAATACAGGTAGAATACCTGGTCTTAACGAGCTGGCATTTGCTAATTACTCCAGACTATAAACCCGCCAATATCTTGCTTTCTAACATCGACACTGACCGTGTTATCGCTAAAGTGGGGGACTTGGGACTCGGTGAGCAAGTATTGATATGCGAGATATGCCATTACTTATACGCTTATAGTTGTCCCGGTCGGCGAACTTCTTAACGCCCAACCATTTGCTATGCGCGCCCCTGAAGTCTTCCTAGGCGAAGCGTGTACTGAGCCATCGCAGGTCTGGGCTGTTGCCGCGATGCTACTTTGCTGGATCAAACCTGGTGTGTTGGGCGCTTGGGACAGCCCTCATCCCTTGATTAACGAAGCTTGGTCCATGGCAAAGATACAGCGACTCTTTCCCCACTGGGAGATTCCCACTCTTGAAATGGTGAAGGGCGACACCCTTAAAGTTGCAGTAAATTCTGCCCAATCTTTAAGTACAGAGGTGCCAGAACTGCAAGCAATCTTACCTTTCGATGAGGAGACAAAAAAGGTGGACATGCCACAGAAGTTAAGAGATCTTCTTCGTTTTATTCTGGTACCTGATCCGGAAAAAAGACCCTCCGCCTCAACTGTGCTTGCGTCGAGGGAATTTCGAGATTTTGAACATTACGTGAGCGTATAGTCTAATCAACTTGGAGGATCGCGTCTTGTTTACATAGGGGTGGATAGTGAATAAACTGAATCTCCTAAATCTCTGTTTGTGGTGTCTCACGCGTAGGCGTTTCGTCGCCCTTTCCCCCCTTGTTTTCTTGTTGCTCCTGCCGAAGATAGTCGTCCCAGCCCATAACCATGCCTTCCATGCCTTCATAGGTGCCTTGATCCGCTTGTGCCCAATAATGGCCCGTTCTCCTTTAGTTCGAGAACTCAAACGGAATGCCGTGGTCAACCCTCCAATGAAAAGAGGCAATCGCCCAACTTTACGGTGATTGCCGGGTTTTCCAACGAGACGCCCACTCCCCAACGAGACGCCCGCTTCCCAACGAGAAGAATGGCTTAGGCAGCTCCAAGTCGATAGAAATTCATGATAGATCGCGCATGCCAGCACCACTTAGTCTGTTTGAGTTTGAGCCACTGATGCTGGGCTATGCCTCAGCTGTTCATAGCCGACAAATAAGAATGAGCCCTGCCGGCTTTGCAGCATGTTCCTTCATCAAAAGCAAGCCCACTTGTGTCTGACGTGCATTGGAGCACATTGAAAGGAACATCAGGATAAATCGGCGCGAATGGTCCGGAATCCACCGGCTTTGATAGAGATCATTCCGTCGAAGAACCCATTCCCAACGAGATCAATCTCGTTGGACTGAGGTAGGAGGCAGCTATGATACTTAGTCGAATATATAAAGAGGGTAAGTCTCCTGGAGTTACTGCAAACGCATCGACTCAGTCACCTCTATATCTATTAGTTTACATTTATTGAATCCTACTTCAATCCCAAACCCAATATGTCTAAGCATCTCATCGGCTACGTCTTCAACAAGGCTCTCAACAAGAATATACCAGTCTATCTCCCCACCATCTGGAACAACATCATGCGCGTACCCGAAGTCGTCGATCAAGCTGTGAAGACCGCAGCTCTTGCCACGGTCAAAGCTCCCTTGAAAAACGGCACGCTATTCAAATTCGAAGACATGCAGAAGATGGATGAACTCCTAATTACGTGAGTGACTTATTCGATCTTTCTACGCCATCTTGGCTAACTATCGCTAGCAATACCCTTCATCAAAGCCAGACTGATCCCAACAATCACTGTTCAGTTCAGGGCCAGACTACTGGAGGTGTCCGGATCAAAGCCAATCACGCCCAGGAGGACCAGTCCAAGCAATATGTAATTTCTACCCTACCACTCCACCTGTAAATTAATACGCAGCTAATTCTATTCTATAGGTTGCTAACTAAGTATTTGCTGTGTAGTATCCAGTCATTTGCACGAGCTTTGGAGAAGCATGCCCGGGAACGCAGATCATTGCTTGCTACTTCATGCGTGTGGCTTTTACAAGGAGGTCGAAGCATATCTATCCAACTGTTGTCATTCCCTAGCTATGTGCCAAGATGATATTGAATCAGAATTGATGTTTATTGATCGGTATATTGGAAAATTCGCCTCAAAGTAACTGAAACTTTAAAGTAAATTAAGAAAAGCCCTGCGCACTCCTAGACTTTCCTCGCCGGCACCATAACATCTTATGAGCCCAAGGGGTTGGGGACTAGTAAACCAGATACTCCAAACTATAGCTTTTTGATAAGAGCTTTTGTTACTTACGTGGTTCGTTCAATTTAAACGATGGAAGTTGGTGGTTTTTCGATAACGTGGATCCCGGCGGGTCCGTCATCTCACCTCAGAATTTCTGCACTTTCCCAACTGTTGTGATATGAGGCTAGTGCAGATCAGAAACTCAGCCGCACCATCGGAATTATTCCCGAGGTGTCTATGCGGAGAAGCAAGTTGATTTCCAATCAACTTGATCTTCTCGTTGTATGTATAGCCTCATGTTTCTCTCTGAATAAATAATCAATTGAATTCCTCTGAATTACAACACATGTTAAACTTACTCTGGGAAGCTCAAAGCATTTCTAGGAGCTGTCTATCCCCTAGGAACCACAATTTAGCTCCTGGGGCTATCGCTAATTCCTATGAAAATGGGATCTACCTGTGAGGGTCTCACGTATCCGTAGAGGTGACTAGCAACTTGAGATGAACAATCAATATTAAGAACTACTGTAGTTGACTCTCGATGCCATGTACGATTTCTTCAACACGACTTGCGACAGCCACAACCATGTAGACCTAAATTCTGCACTGTACTTATGCTTGAATACCCTGGAATTCTGAATCTTCAATCCGCATTTTCCTAAATGCAATAGCCATGGAGTTGTGGTCGGTTGAATCTGATCATTTTCCATGCTGAAGTGCTTATCTAAGCATGCACTAAACCCTTCTGAATTTCGTGGTCAAAACTAAACCCTTTTTGATTTTCATGGTCAAAACTAAGCCTCTTTCAGAATATCAGCGTACCTAGGCTGCGGCATATCGTACGATAACGATAATGACCCGTTATCGTTATCCGCAAATTGCGGATTGCGGATAATGGATCATTATCATCATCGTCATTGCAGATATCCGCGGATATCTAAACGATAGTTTGGATATCAGCAAACTATCCGCACTAGCATAAAATTCGCTAATATATCCTATTCTGGACCATCAGGTGATACTTATGAAGCTGACAAAACACTATTTTACATCTGAATCTTTACATGTTTGGTCATAACAGTACTCATCCCCTATTTCCTTCACGTCTCCTCATATTGCCGTTGAGCCTCAGGATGATGGTGATAATGATCTCCCGCTTCTTGAAATGCCAACTGAAGGGTCCACGCAGGGGAGATCGGGGAGGATTCGGAAGAAGCCAAAGCAGCCAGATGGATTTGCATTTAAGGTCCGCAGCTTTGAGATGGCTCCCCACCCTCTATTTAGCTTGTCCAATAGATCAACGTTCTAGAACCCCCAGAAACCATAAGAATATGATACAGAAGCTATTTTTAAGCTGTTATTCACGACTGTACTGGAATACTGCCAAGAAAGGGGTTTTGGAGGACTAACCGTAAAGGGTATAGCGTATTTCGAAAGAGGGCTTGAGAAATAATCTCTGAGAGGAAATGGTGAAACTGATTTCGATCTATTCTGTATAAACATGAAAAGGGCCAACCGTGATTGATTTCGCTATTCAGCGATTTTCAAAAACAGTTTACCCCTTGGACACTCATACTTTGTTTCTCGGCCCGTACCCGAGACAACGCTAGGCCGGAACAGGTTAGTCCGTACATTAAACTGATCTCCAAGTGGATAATATCTTACCACTTATCCTAATAAGTGTTCAGGTTGTTTCGGGTACGGGCCGACAAACAAATTGTGAGTGTCCAAGGGGTAAACTGTTTTCGAAAATCACGGTAGAAGAAGATATCGTATTTAATCTTGTTAGGAGATTACGTCAGGAGCGCTCGGCATTTCTACTGCCCTAATTATTGGAGGGTCGACCCCCGGTGTTTTGGAAGAATAAATCATAAGTATAATTCCTCATGACCATGCATTGGCGCCAGGCAGTAATGGACATATTCAACAATATCCCTTATTTGATAAACGGGCGTATCCTACTCAAACCAGTCAAAGTCCTCCGTCATCCATGAACCATTGCCAGGCTCTACGTCGCTCGACCGGTTCGGAGAGTGCCTGACACTGTTCGTCGAAGGGAAGACACTTTGTTGGTATGGGGGCGCACTAACATTGGGTACATAATACCTATCCATAGTTGCAGGTGGTAACTGATTTGGACCCTCGGCCGGATTGGCTGTTTGCTGAGGATAAGATTGCGGTATCATGGCATCTTGGCCTTGGTTCAATGACAGTCCTATTTGACTTGGCTCCGGTTGATCGGCCCTCCGGTGCCAAGCGGCTGCATTGTCCCCAGCATAGTCTTGCGGTGTATGTCTCGGTAGATATGGCAATCCTTGTGGAGCCGACTGGGCAGGTGTGGGCTGGGACGATGGCACTTCCATGTTTGAAACAAGCTGCTGGGCTTGGTCTCCTAGTCGAGCTCCATTTGATGAAATATTTGGTGTAGGCTCCCTGTACTCATCCCGGTTGGACAGCACAAGTAGACTTGACTGGACTCCCAAACTATTCAAGTTGGCTTTCAGTTCGGATGTCAAATCCTGGTCTCGGATTTGCTCCAGTTGTTTGAGGAGCTGAGCAATGGCTGCCCTGTAGGATTGGTATTTTTGGGCACAGGGTTTATGATATTGGACAAATTGCATCTTAGGCAGGCCGTAAGTACAAATCAAGTAATGCATGAGTTAGACTTACGGCCTTTCTTTTCCCCCCGAGACTGACTGCCAACTGGTCCATCATAGCTATAGCCCCCTTTTGTCGCACCGAGCCAGTAGGCGATGTCGGATGGGCTTCTTTCGCCATATTGACAGAAGTTCTTCGATGAGGAAAGGTCTTCGCTAGGGATTCTCAACGGCAAGAGCACAGGCATGGACGTACTCGGTATACTGAACAGAACGGAGTATACATAGCGCAAGTCGACCTTAAGTACTACCTAAGACACCTCCAGGATCATAATCCCTGTATTGCTACCCTGATGATTTTTCCATAATCTAAGTATCAGTTTTGGCCATCTTTCCTTCCCTGGTCACTGCCTGCGGCAAACATGGGGCAAATGTCCGGAATATTAGCCCACTCCAAACCTCCCAGGATTACCATGAAATGGTCATTAAATAGGCAAATAGGCCTATCAAGTCTCTTTCTATACGCGCTGTTGGTGTGATCTAAAATCTGATTGGGTTGCACAGGCCGTCTGTTGAACCTTAAATTTGCCCTAGACGACTAACTACGCCAAAGCACTCTCAATCCCTCCCAAGTACAATGGCATATTTTTTTTATCTGAGAGGAGTGACGTTCTTATCGCTGACCGAGCCACTCCAGGTCAGCTCTATACCACATTGAATTTGTCACCATCTCGCGTCGATCCTGCTCGGGCGAGCCTGTACCACATAATGAGACTCAGTTGTTCCATTCCGCGCTAGTAACTGAGCCGCTCAGTGTTACTTGCATCACACCCCATCCTCCCCGTTACCTTATTTCACTTCATTCTGGAACGCTTATTTAGAAAATATATGTAAGCACTCATCACTGTTTCTATTTATTTTTAGCGGAAACACAGTGAAATAATTGAAGGATAAAGCTGGGAGATCATAACCAGGTGGGCCTCGTCATGGTAGGAATTACCTCCAACAACCACAGCAAATAAAAGCTTTGGTGAGTGTTTGCTGTATCCGTGCGCGCCCGTCCTGGCTTAGCTCGTAGATACTGATGTATCTCATTACACCGGCACAGACCCATCTCGGCCAGGCCTGCCATCGAGCAAGTGCGTGATCAAGAACGGATGCAGGCGCGTCCTCTGAGACCGGACCCAGCACAAAATACTGAACTTTATCACGCGCGCCGGTTTGACGCTAGGTAACGTTCCGGTCATGTGAGGCTTGGCGCCAGGGGTCAACGACCATCCTAGCTAGACAATGTCAACAGAAAAATAACAACGAAACTTAGTGACTCAAAAGGTAGTTATATGTTTGACGACAAGGCATGAAGTCCCCATAATAAGGCATCTCTCGGTGTCCTTTCCTCATACGACTCCACAATTCCACGACGCTCATCGGATATTTCACGCATGACGAGGGCGACTACAATCTTCTGCGGCGCAGGACATGACCAGGGGCTTGCGACAACACGCCATGATGTCCCGCTGGTTCATCTTTTGTGGGTATTTGCGGCTTTTTCTGATTTTACTTGACCACTCGGATCCTGTCGGAAGCTCCAAGCAGGGAGTATGTTTCGTACCGTTCGTGCTAGCCACCATTGAAGGCGCCACTGAATCCGGAACCAGAGGCATGGGTTCATCTGACTCAAAGGTTGCTCAACGCTTGACATAGGCTTCCTGGCAACCACGGTTGCCAACCCCAAACACCACATGGGCTGTTGCGCCATTCGCCACAAACAGCACTGATGGCCTAGACCAGGAATCCTAGTCGCTCCATGGCCACTGGCCTAAATGACCATCCGCGGGCTTCCGTCGGTAGTCGGATCTGGCCTTCCGGAGGTCGGGTACCAGGGTTATCGCCAGCCTCTGGTCTTGTCCTGCGCCGCGGATTATTGTAGCCACCCTGGTCAGCGCGAGATTCTGATGAGCGTCGTAGAACTGTGGTGTGGTATGAAGAAACGACACCGAGGTGCGTTATTCTGCGGTTCATCTGCATTGTCATGAAATTTATAACTCTCTTGCGAGTCACTATGACCTAGATAGCCCTTGGCTTTTCGTTGTTGTTTTCCTGACCTCGTGTACAGACAATGATCGGCGGCCGTGATGTCAAGCCTCACATGACCCGAATGTGATAGCGCTCGTTCGCTTGTTGTCCTGCCCAGTGGCAAACTGGCGCGTCTGATAGGCCCGGAATATTTTTGTACTGGATCCGATCGCGAAAGGCACGCCCGCATCCGATCCTGGTCGCCCACTAGGTTAATGGCGGTCTTGTTAGAGGCTCCAACTTTGGCTCTCTATGCAGGCGCAATGACTAAAATCAATATCTACGAGCTAGCCTAGAGGGGCGCGCGTGGATACAGCGAACACTCACCAGACCCAAGTATCTGCTGTGCTAATTCCAACGTTGGGGACCGCGAGTTATTGCATATATTTGTCTAGTCGTCCGTTTTAGAATGAACCGAAATAGATAATAGGGATGATGAGGTGTGGTACAGACTCACCCGAGCGGGTCGACATGGAGGAGGGCGATGAGTGCTGACATGGAGGGGCTCATTCAGTGACAAGAGTTCCCCCCCTTTTGTAGAAGAAAAACAGGGCCATTATCCTTCTGGGGGTAGAGGGAGCTTTGGTGTAGGAAGTCGTTCAGGGGAAGTTAAGGTTCAACAGACAACCTGTGCAGCCAAGGCAGATTGTAGATTGCACCAACAGCGGTTATAGAAGAGTCCTGATTGGCTAAGTTGCCAGTTCAACGCCCACTATATGATAATCCTGGGATCCATATGTTTGGACTGGGGTCAACAGTTCGGAAGGTTGCTACGAGGTTGCGGCAGCCATTGACCACGAAGGATGACCGCCAGTGATACCCGAATTAGATAAGCATGGAAAGAATAGACAGGGTAGCAATATTAGGGGAGAGAATCCTGCTTAGTATCTTAAGTGTAGTACTTAAAGTCGACTTGTGCTAGGTACACTAGATCTGTTCAGTATCGTAGGTCTCCAGCGAACATCTTTCCCTCAACGGAACCCTTCTTTCACTATGACGAAGGGAGCCCATCCAGCACCCTCCCCCAATGACTCGGTGCGACAAAAGGGGGCTATAGCTATGATGGACCAGTTGGCAGTCAGTCTCGGGGGAAAAGAAAGGCCGTAAGTCTAACTCATGCATTACTTGATTTGTACTTACGGCCTGCCTAAGATGCAATTTGTCCAATATCATAAACCCTGTGCCCAAAAATACCAATCCTACAGGGCAGCCATTGCTCAGCTCCTCAAACAACTGGAGCAAATCCGAGACCAGGATTTGACATCCGAACTGAAAGCCAACTTGAATAGTTTGGGAGTCCAGTCAAGTCTACTTGTGCTGTCCAACCGGGATGAGTACAGGGAGCCTACACCAAATATTTCATCAAATGGAGCTCGACTAGGAGACCAAGCCCAGCAGCTTGTTTCAAACATGGAAGTGCCATCGTCCCAGCCCACACCTGCCCAGTCGGCTCCACAAGGATTGCCATATCTACCGAGACATACACCGCAAGACTATGCTGGGGACAATGCAGCCGCTTGGCACCGGAGGGCCGATCAACCGGAGCCAAGTCAAATAGGACTGTCATTGAACCAAGGCCAAGATGCCATGATACCGCAATCTTATCCTCAGCAAACAGCCAATCCGGCCGAGGGTCCAAATCAGTTACCACCTGCAACTATGGATAGGTATTATGTACCCAATGTTAGTGCGCCCCCATACCAACAAAGTGTCTTCCCTTCGACGAACAGTGTCAGGCACTCTCCGAACCGGTCGAGCGACGTAGAGCCTGGCAATGGTTCATGGATGACGGAGGACTTTGACTGGTTTAAATAAAATATTTCGTCATTGCCCGGTTATGAGAGTTGTGACTTCTTCGTTTGAAATTCGTGGGCCAAGCTCGATCCTCCCGATAATAGAATCGAATGCCTCGTACTGTAAGAGATCATCGTAGCCCGGAGGTGTGGATGAGCTTCTTTGGTTGGTATTAGTTCCTGAATGAAGCACACTAGGAGCCACCAGATGTACCCAAATTGTGTACGTCTCCTTTAGCATTCGCTGGGGTCTTGCAAAGCTTTACAGCGGGCTCGCTGTAAACAATGGAAGCCTAGCCGACCAAGACGTACTCGTTAGTTTGGCCCTACTTAGCTTAGGACGCGTAAGAAATTTATAGCCTTGCCCCACGAACGTGTGGTTTAATAAACACAGCAGCACATAGGATTTATAGTTCGAAACCAAGTAGTTTCCTATTTCGGTGTACAGTATGGAGGGAACATTCTTAGAACCAGTTCGTTACAGTGATATTTGAAATCTGTTGTGATAGATGGCCAGTGCAGACCAGGAACCAAGCTGAATCATCGGTATTAATTCCTCTACAATCTTTACGACAAATCAAGTTAATTGTCAATCAACTTGGACCTCACATTTTATATATAAGGTCCTGAATCCCCTTGGAAATAAGCACAATTAATCATTCCTCTGAATTACAAGAAAATCAGCTTTAACTCCACTCTCTCGCCCTGACTCGTTTATCAGGAGAGTCTTTATCTCGAAGTGTTTTTTGTGGCTTCTTTTGAAGCACCAACCGCTAGTACGCGCTCGGGGCTACAGTACTTCCGGAAATCGGTATCACCACCTCAATCGTCCCCAGAACCCTGATGACAAACCCGCTAGTCCAGATACGGAATACTTACGGATGAATGATATTCCCGCACATGACCCATACAGTACTCTACTGGATGACGCGCGCGTCGCGCGCATCGGCCATGAAACGATGGATAGAATGAGGCAGGGGAGAATTGACGGGCTTTGATTGGAGGAAAAGCGGCTTCTTATAGCCATTATAGCAATTTGTATATGGAAATCATTTACTTATTATGACTAGCTGCGAATGCGCTGCAGAATGAGGTCGAGTTCCTTGAAAACCGGTGTGGCTTTTATCGAATTCAACGGGACTACTTTCGCGACAAGCTTGGCCACTACATACCCATGACTCAATTGCCACCGAGACCACCGACTCCAGAGTGTATCCCATCTACTTCACCTTAAACCAGCGCAGCTTGGGGACTTTGACCTTCTAGTGTATGCAGTTGGCTTCCTTTTCTTCTATTTATTCAAGTCTCCGAAGCCTTTGAATAGAAATGGGTGACCTTTCCGGCTTTCAAAGTATCACAGTATTAAGCATCTACCGGGTGAATATACTACTGGGGGTAAACTTGGAATGGTCTACGTTGGGATAAACCAGGATATGGGTCCACCTTACATCCTAGGCTCTTAAAAAAGATCATGCTAGCCAATAACTAATAACATCACCCGTGGAGATTTTGGTCACACCAAGCGCGCTAAAAGAAAATATATAATTGGCTTCTATTTCGTTCAACGACTATTAAGTGGATTAGTGCTGGCCTAGGCCCCTGAATGAACATCTGGTCGACTTTTGTCTCCAGATTTTGCCACTAGCGATAACGAGCGGGGAAGTGATCGGAATTTTGGGACTCGAGAGAAGAAAGGAGGGGTAGCAGATAGCAGAGGGGATTTTTTCGATACAAATAGGCTGGTAGTTTTGTGACTCATGCTAGAAAATATCCCATCACTTTCTTTTGAAATCACTTGGGTATAATGAAGCAACTTCATATGACCCGGGACGCGGCATTGCTATTGGCTGAACTCAGGCACCTCATTGGGGAAGAGCAACTTGTGAGAACAATTCTCTACTGAACGTATTCCTTATCCTTACTTCTCCGATCGCAGAAACGCTTCCAGGGCCATGAAGAGTGCGAGAGAAAGTGTCAAATTGCTAGGGGTATCATGGTTCAGTTAATGAACAGATTGGAGAAAATTCGACATCAGAACAACATAGAACCCGGACTCGTTGTTCAGTTGAAGGCATTGGGTATGCAATCGCCACTGCTGGACTCAGTCAATGGAGCAGATGGGGGACATTATTGCGCCCCGAATGTATTGAATAGCGAGGCGGCATCCTCCGCCATGTGCAACCCGCAGATCCCGTCCCATACCTGCCAACAGACTCAAGGGTTTGATGATACTCCGCCGCAGGCGGTGCCAGCCCATTACCCATCCACCCAAACCCAGCCAGTTGGACCATCACACATGCCGCAGCTGGGGATCAACTCCCCGATAGAATCGAGGCAGATGGTATCTGGAGTATTGAACGCAAACCGGATGTACATGTATCCATCTATACAGCAAAAGGCTAGAACCGTGCCCACACCACAGGGAGCCCAACCAGTTCCATCCCTTCCAAACATTCATTTTGAGGAGCCTCTGTCGACTGAGTTGGACATCAGCGTTGAACCATGGAGTATGCACGGAAGCCTCAAGTGGTAGAGATTGGTCTTGTTTGTTTCTACGCTACCTCATTATGGATCCAAGTTTTCTTTTTTTTGATTAATTTTGCAAGGGTCGACCATGGTAAATTCTTCTAGGTCCTCTAGGCAATATAATGCAAGTCCATCAAACAGTCGGCGTGATAGACCTACCTTGAGATTTGAAACATACTCGCCGACATATACAGTAGTTTTCAAATTTGGTTATACAGACTCGCTCGAAATCAGTTCACCTCTTTACTGGCTGTCTTCAATTCTTTGTTGAACTCTATTTTGCATGACGCCTTACCATATACGGTTAGCCTGCCCCTGACTCACATCTCAGGCAGTATCTCAGTACGTATACGAAATAACTTCATGATGAATAGTGCTTGTTTGGTCTGGTATTTATGATGATAGAGTGATATTAAAGCAAAAGGCCCTATTAGTATATCTATCTGAGCCACACCCACAGGGTTCTTGATAAACATGCGGGGGCTCTCTTGGCTTCTAGTCCGTTAGAGTAACGGTCAACAACCAGTACTGGGTTTTCTTTCTTTGTGGGAGTTATGTTCAAGGTCTGTTCAAGGTTCAGAACTTCGTACCCCTAAGCGCCAGCTGACGTTAACCTGGCGGATTTTGCTGCTGCACGTAAGCTGGACAAGTCTATGGTTAAACTGATGGATCTAATGCTGCAAATAGCCATGTCAATTCCAATGGTGGAATGTGCAGAGGAGCCCCGCTCGTTCAACTTCTTCCCTGCTTAATAATAACTACTGAGCGAACAGGGGCCTTCGCCCTTCCTATATGTTATTCCGTTCGCATATTTGGACTTATGTTGCCTAACCAGCTGGTGCTCAACTAATCAGAATGTTGACCACACTAACAGCGCTACATGGGCATGAGCAGTTAGGAAATGCTAGCTGCTACCTTGCTGGCACAGACCATGAACTTTATATCACAGAACTGCTGAGGTTTAGCGTTAACCTAGTTCAGGTCGCCGAAGGCAGGGCTGCGGTGTGCTGGGAAGGGAGGTAGGAAACTTGTGCCACCCGTTTCCGTGCGTCGCATATCGCATTTCTGTCACCTGTATTGGACTGTTAATAAAAGCAATTATCCAGCGCTATTATAAACTGCCAGAAAACCGTCAGTCTATGATCGTTACGAAGACCTTTTCTGTCCATCGTGAAGCAACCTCGCAAAGTCAAAAATACACGAGATGGCCCAGCATAACGGTATGGCATTAGGAAGTGGTAGGTAAATGCTACAAGTCTCAGGCTGGCTGACGCAATTACCTAGGAACGGATCTAAAGCAATCCGACGAACAGAAACAAGCCGTGGATATTGGTCAAGACGATATTGGTCAAGACGATATTGATGCTGATGAAGACTCCACATGGGATCAAATGAAGTACTCTGAGGAAACTGAAGACCAAATAGACATATGGGAATATATATGGGACCTGAGAGATAGGACCAACAGGACATGCTCATTATGTTCATCAAGCTCGGATGTGTTTTTGAGGAAAGAAGAGGATCCAAGAGATTTGGGAGAGCATATGTCCAAGAAGAATTCTGATGGTAAGTCCATTATATACTTGACACAAATTTGGATTAAACTGAATCTGCTTGGTCGAGACTGACAAATCATTGCAGATAGAGCGGAATTAGGGCTTGATGGTCTTCCTTGGCTTTTGAAGCAACTACAAATACAGCGTGGGGGGCAAAATGGCGATTCAGACTCTGAAGAAACAGTGGCATTAGGAACGAGCGAGGTTGACATGCCTCAACAGGGTTCATTGGGGGGAGAAGTCCTAACCGATCGAAAAGAGTCCGCGTCAGGTGTGAAAGACCTAAGAAGTGACAAATGAATTGACAATTTCCCTTGGTAGTAGCAAAATATATTTACTCTATCAAGAACTTCGATATGATGGAAAGCGAAAGGATAGGGACCTCGAGAAGGGAAGCAGGAATATAATATGATATGGAGCGATTCACAGTAGACTAAAATCTTTCATAGAAATGCAAACCCATAGATAAAAGAGCCACGAGAGCATATTATTTTATTATGGTCAAGAAGAGAAGCTTTTGACTAGCTCTAATACTTCGAAAGATAGCCCGCACAATGTAAGAGTTACGAATACCTCCTCCATGCGTTGGCGATAGACAAAAATCAGAATCCGGACTTCAGGTTGTCGTATTTGGAGGAAGGATAGCTCAGCTGATTGTCGCTCTTGTCCAGAGCCTTAGTGCCTCCAAAGACATCCACAATCTGCAAGGTTCAAAGTTACTGAGATGCTCAAATATGGAAATTGACTGAAACATACCGTCGTGACCAAACTATCATCACCTTCCGTGTCACCGCTGAGCTCCCACCACATACCCCCACCAAGCCCCTTTGATTTGATGTACTCACCCTTCTTACGCGCAATATTAGGAGTATCATAGCTGATGAACAAACGCGAGCCCGAGCTGTAGCAGTAGCTAGCCCCTTCCTGCTCCAGATTTGTGACCGCACAGCCGGGCTGAGGCAGGGCCTTGTAGTCCCACACACCGTTCTCCCAGCTACCAACACCAACACCGTTAGAGGATTGGCCAGGACCGTTGGTGTCAGTAAAGGCCCGGCCATACAGAGGCATACCTAGAACAATCTTGTTGGAGGCGACTTCGTGCGAAGTGTAGTAGTTGATTGCTTGGTCTGTATTGAACGGAGTACTGGAGGGGTTGTTGTTGGATACGTGTAGGTTAGCGCCATGGCCAGCAACGGCGTCCCAGGGTCCAGCGTAATCGTAGGCCATCAGGTTCCAGAAATCAAGGTACTGATCCATCTGGGCAAGATGCTCATTTTGGTAATTTAAAGTTCCTGAAATTTAGATTAGCGTTGCTCGGAGGTTTTGACGGAACTCCACGTGCCGGCAGGGGATGCAGTAGTGAGCAAGTAATGATAGCCGTCTCCGTTGGTCGAGCTGTACGAGTCTAACGCCTGAAAATGTTTAGTGATAGCAGAACCATGAATAAAAGAAGTGTGAAAATACCTCACGAAGGCGGCGTAGGGTATCAACAAATTGGTCCGCTTCGTTAGAATTGGCAGGGTACTTTCGATAATCAGCATTAAATACCGTGAAATAAATACCGTGAACAAGATATCAAATCTACCTCAAAATCAACATCAATACCATCAAAGCCCAGGTTCTTCAGCAGCTCAATAGAACTGTCAGCAAACTTCTGGCGTCCCCCATCTGTCTGAAAGGCTGCTCTGAGGTTGGAAGAATAGGTCCAGCCTCCAATCGACAGAAGAACCTTAAGGTTGCGATTTTTCTTCTTGAGTAGGAAAAGTTGTTTGACACAGCCATAGACATTGTTTCCGGTATCAGCCCAGGAATCAGTCGAGTAGTGCTTATCAGTGTCCGACCAAGGGTCCGTCAGGACCACTTCACCAGAGGCTTGGGCATCGGCAAATGCGTAGAGAATATGAGTCAGTCGCTTCGCTGGAATATTCTGAGGCTGGAAATTGCGAGCATAAATGCCCTGATGATGTTTGGTTAGTAAGTTTGATCCAGTAGATATATAGTATAGACGAGACTCATACCCAGTTCACAAAGTAGGCCACAGAGCGATATCCGTTAACATCACGAGTAACAATGTCAGTCTCATTGGTCTTGAGCAAGGAGGCAGTATAGGAAGCGTTTGCCAGCCACGCCAGGCCCAGCAAAAAAGGAAAAACAAAGTTCATAGGTAAGAAATGTCAAGGTTATATCCAATGAGATTACTTCTGGCGAGCTTTGGGAAGAGAGAGGGTCGTCAAAGAGCAAGGGGAAGCTAGGCTTTTTCTACTCGAAGTGACAAATAATTTCACTGACTCATGTGACATACAATAGCGCAACCAACCCCCCCCAATAAGATCTCAGTCGTGGTCCTGTAGCGCAAAAGCCAACGGCAATACAGTATAGCGTTACTCACTCTGAGTTGGGGTTTCAACGGCCTCCAAGAACGGGAACGACTCAGCTTTGATGTGCAGACTGGGGAACTATTATTGTGAATGCTGAACATTTAATTCTGTTATTTGCCAGGAACTCAGAATATACCTCGGCACTAAAATAGAACCATGTGGATTCCTGAAAAGAAAGAAGAAGGAAAGCACAAATCAGATGATAACTTTGATGCATGGGCTGTTCAACCTCTTTCGCTACTTTTTCACCCTACCTTGCGATCCTTTGAATATTGCTTGACCCCTGTGCGTCCGAGTTTCATGATTTAGCCGTCAGGGCACTGTCTGTAGAGATTATAGTACAGTGATATTCAAATCAGTTTTACCAACAATCTTTCTCTTTATTTCCCACAGGCTCCACCTCAAATGCACTAGCCCGTACTTGGAAATGTCTCTACCACCTTGCGTTTGTCCATGTGTTTCTTATGAGTCGGCGTAAATTACAGCAAGTTTCCATAGAATTTAATAGAATCAGCATGGTTCACTGGCCAGCGAAGCAGCGGCCACCAAGCTGAGAAAATAGGAAATATCGTCTTCCGAAGGAATTGCATCCCGTGAACAAGAAATAAAGATTGTCTGGACAAGATGACATGCTAACAGTTCCGTCCGCATTGTTATGCTGTCCTCTTAGCGCGCGATTTTGAAATCACTGTGATACCACAGCAAATCCCAGCACGGCCTCGGCCGTTAGAAAAGCCTGTTCAGTGGATGGATGGATTATTTTATTTACCCCGGCCCCTTGATTATAAGCCCCTCTTACCCTGGGTGTCTCTCAGTTTGCTCCTTCAGCATGCATTCATGGGCAGATCAACCGGGACGCCGCTTCAATCAAGCTAACCTGATCTCCAGTCCTCGGTGCGAGTGAGCTGATTGAACACCGGCTCTTTGTACGCCGACAAGCGCATCCGTTCTCTCGCACCATTCAGACCCTCTCCTGAAAACCTCGCCCTGCCACTTTTATCAGTTGAATTTTCGTGCTTTGGGGAAAAAGCGGTAGCCATTTCAATACACGATGATCATGAGGCCTCGATATCGACACATATCATATCTTGCTCGTAAACATACAGTGGAATTCGAAATCAGTTTTAACTTCACACTCTTACAACTTGGTTCGCGAACCTTAAATTGAAACACGCTAGTCCATATTTGGAATTGTAGTCGATCCATGATTTCCAAGAATAGACATTGTATTTTACATGACACGGATGGGACCCTGCCAGGTGTATTTTACTCGAAAATGCCATACAATGGCAGAATTGTATAGTAACGGCTATACCATACGCTGGTATAAAAATATTGTACTGTACCGCTACACATAATTGCGTTTCGATGATCTGGCATGATCACCAGCTCCGGACCACCTGTTCTGTCTTGATACGGGTAAAAAATAAATCCAAGTACTTATTAATTCTGCAAGGTAGTGTCCTTGTTATTCTGTATTGCCTTCTCTAAACTTGTGTAGCAGTTCTACGAGTCATCTTCGTAGTGTCGTCACGTCCACCTTACGTAACAGTTTCACTATCCTCTATTGAGAAGTTTCTGCAGCCAGTGACAATGGTATTTGACCCTCGTTGTCTTGCAAGTCCACATCCACATTCCCTGTCTGGAGTAAGAGTTTTGTTATTTCGATATAGCCTCTTTGCGTGGCTACGGCGAGTAATCCGCGGCGTTCAAGACCCCTCTATCTCATTTCAGCTCCTTCCTCAATTGCCTTTCGAGCCATACTTTCAATCCCTTGGAGAACAGGCCATACCAATGCCGAGCTCGAATTGCACGAGTTGACGCGATAGAGGTAGGGATTTAAAATTGAATAAAGACGTCGGTTGGTTTGACATATTGAGTTGATATCTTCTTCTCCTCAAAATGTCCCGAGGTTGAGGATCAATTCTGTAGGTAAGTGGAGGAGTGACATGGTAAGGTGACTTTGGACTGCCAAGCAAGGCCAAGCAGACAGAACGCTTGAGACCTAGTTAATCAGTTCAAGATCCTCATCCTGGCAGAAGGAAAGGAAATATCTCGTCATTATATAACCCTCTTTTCACATAACTCCGAGTGCATTAGGCCGCCAGCACAGCCCGCCAGCACAGCCCGGTCAATAATATATATGATTAGACAAAATACAGTTGCTGCCCGAAAGGGGTTGGTTAACCTAACTAGTTGGTTAGTTAGTTAGCGTGGGCTGCAATCTGTGTAAAATACATTCCTTGGGGTCTCATTCTTGTATTGTGTGGAATAAAATCACTATCCTAGGAAGCGGTCTGGGTAGAAGGGTTTCCCGCCCAATCCAATCAGAACTCGCGTATTCCCAATCCATTTTTCGGCAAACCATATATGCCTTCAGCCGTACATGGATTACCAGGGGAACAGCTAATTTTAGATTAGCGTGTCTCCATTTAGATTCCAGGAATTAAATCACAAGAGTCATTCCACTGTATGTCCCTACCTATTCTTTTATTATTTCGCCACGTCCACGCTGGCTAAGTCAAATTTCAGCTAAAATAACGCTTGCTTTCACCCAACGATGGCACATCGCTGGCCAGATATTTACAGTTCGACTATTCCGCGCTACCATAGGTTGGAGAAAGTACCGAACAGCGCAAGTGGGTGGGTGACACCTGGTTTGGAACAGAAAGCATCAAGAACGGCTACCGGGCCATTAAAGGCCTTTACAAGGCTCTAGGTTTATAGTAGGTAGTGGGATAATTGCCTTGCGCATGTGAGAATATATATAGTTGTGATACCCTGGATATCGTCAACGGTGTGTTCAAGGTAAATGGTCCTATATAGGCCCTCCTGTAGAGGCACTTGTGATTACTACCCTATTAGACGATCTGCCTTGTTTCCAATAAAAATACAAAAGTTCGGCTTCTGATGGAGAATCTACAGAGCGGAGATCCAGATATGGAGAAACAATACTGTGAGATTCGCCTGGGAGCAAAAGGACGGAGAGGAAGAAGAGAGAGGGAGAGAAGAGCTATCTAGCTATCTATCACTATCTAGATCTGTCCCGTATGGGGCTACTGCCTAAGGCAGAATAAGGCACCCAACAGCTTCCTTGTCTTCTTCTATTTGTTTCTTGTTTACGCCACCAAAGAAAGATAAGTCTAATATTCCGCAACGATTCACGCTTTTCAGAAGTAAATGAGCCCTTTTCCGTCTGGAAAGAAATAATAATTTTGTATTGAATGTTCAAAAATGAACATTTCGTCTTCGTCTAAATACCGTCTTCAGTCCACAGAGGGCCCTTTACTTTCTTGGATTGTCGAGATTGGTCAGTGCCCAAGTCAAGAGAGTTTTGAGTTCGCTTGGTGATGCTGCGTATAATCTCATGTTTCACCTCCGCTGATGGGTAGTCAGGATCCACTACTTTGGTATCCTCTCCGACAATTCGTGACTTCTCTTCCAAAAGCGGAGTGACAGCTGATTCTGCTAGGTCTGAATTAGATTCCGGTGTCTTGCAACTTTCGAGGTATTTTGCAGATAAAATGCTGTTCGTGGAAACAACAGTTGCAAGAGGTTGCTGATTCTCAAGTATGCTTAGGTGAGGAGTGGTTTGTTCAACCTGACCAACACCAACCTCAATCTCGACTGAATTTGGTGACTTAGGGCTATCATATAAATCAATCAATTTAGGAAGTTCTGATCCCAACAATGATGTCTTGTTGCACTTCATCGTTTCTCCCAGTGCTTCATCATCTGAAAATTTAACCACAACGCCACCTGTGGCTATAATCGGGCTACTTAGGTGGGAATTGTGTAGTGGCGGAAGACCAAAGATTGCATCTTTTTTGTACCTTGCCACCATCGGCAAATACGTTTGCTGGGCTGTAGAAGAGAAGATGGCCGACCTTTGCCTTTGCGGGACGCGTTGTCGCGGACATGCGCACACTATCGCATCTTCATAAAAGAGGAGCCTCTGTACCTCTGAAAGACAGTCTACGGAATGCAGAATGGCAATATATTCCACTGACGAGCCATACAATCGTGAAAATGCATGACTATGCCCATCTTCCCATAGAACCTGGATCGCAGTGTCTTCATTTTCAACAACTCTCACATGCCGAGGCATGTCGTGGAGCTTCTGCTGGACCATTTGTGGAGATAGATAAAGAGACTTATTTGGCTTCGACTCACCGTAAATGGTCCACTCCACGGAAGGGTTAATCAATGCTACTGCGCGATGGTAAATTTCATGAACAATATGCTCACAAAAGAAGGAATCGCTCTCAATTTGAGGGCTCATTCGCACTGGACAGTCACTATCAAGATGCGCTCTCTGAGTATACAGCCACCTTTCGTGGATATATAATGTCTTTTTGTTCTTGGCAAAGGCGATATCGGTTTCTTCATCCCCGGCGCGCACATAAAGGACACTAACATTTCTAGTGATAGAAGTCGCCACAAGCAAAGCCCGAAGGGCTCGATCAAATTCCTGTGCAAACCGCGTACTGGGTATCTGGATTACTTCGAATTCTTCTAATCGTCGCTGTAGCTCTTCATCAGGCGTGAGAATCAAGTTATGTTTTCGTAGGATTCTCCACAACACCAGCGACAGAGTCTGTGGCTGGAGTTTGAGATCTTTCGTGATTATCTCTAGGCTCTTGAGTTGGTGTTAGAAACTTATTAGTATGCTCTATATTTGGTGGCACTCACTTTGCATCCGCTGTTCTCGTGATGAAAGAATCCGGCGGTCTTTTGGGAGTCTTCTTTCAGTTTCGCCCAAATAATTCTTGCCACATTTTCCGTCACCAAGTCTTCAGCATTTTGGACGTCCATCCGTGTGGGATGATGTCGGAGAAAATCAATATAAAGTAAGAGAGCGCTTTCGTTCCCTCTTCGGATGGCACTTTCCCAAATCTCGGCAATTAATTTTGACCTCTTCTCAGGTTCAATCAATCGACCCAAGCTCCGATCAGGGTTTTCGGTAGCCAGGTTGTAGCCGACATGAAGGCCACTCCCATTATTATCACCCAGGCTGAATTCGATTCCTTTGAAATAGAGATGTCCGGCAAATTTCTCATCCAGAATCAAGTCGCCCTTTAGAGTACGAATAAGGGGTGCCGGGGGATTGACATCGATAGTAGCCCGCATCCAGCTCCAGAAGATATCTCTTGTCAGTCTGCTCTCATTACAACTATTGTGTTTGCCTCCCTTTGTGATGAAGACAGAAACATCCTTCCAGATCTTGGCTGTCAGCTGCTGGGAGATACGACACTGTAGGTCTTTTTCAAGGCGCGCCATGAGACGTTTGATTTTTCCCTTGCTCGCTGGTGTGACCTGGCAATACAAATTATGGTTGAGCTTGCCCCTAAATCCAAAGTTCCAATAGCAGTTGTTTGAGCATATCTTTACATTGAAATCCTCACGGCATAAAGCGAGAGCTGCCACTTTGAGCCCTTTGCCATAAACACCTGATAGACGATCATCATTGTTCTTTGTCGTATACCCTATTTCTAGACACCTTGTATCAAGCTTTGCATTAAAGTTAGTCAGTTCGACGTTTCCATCTGATTTCTTGAATCGGATATATCCAGCCAGTTCTTCATATTTTAGCGAAGCATGTCCATTATTTGTCTTTGGGACCGAGACAATAATCGCCTCATCTGTCTCTGTCACATGAGGACAGAATCCAAGAAGAGAGATTCCATGAACCTGAAGAATAGAATCTTTCCTGCAGGAACCGGTAAGTAAACATTACATTTAGTAATTCTCATAGATTTACGAACCAATTTTGATAAAACTCTTTGAAAGCATCGTACGAACTCCAATTCGCCTCATATGATCGGGTGAAACCAATTGGTTGTATTGACGGCTCCAGAACACCGGTGCTATCAGTGTGAGTTTCCGGTTGTGTATCCATCCCAATTATTCCAAAATTTGATGGAGTGAAGTATGATTTTGATAAAGAAGGCTATTAGCAGGACTTCTTTGGGTGGATTCGCCCCTTATATATGAATTAATCAAGTCATTTGTAATAATAAACTGGTGGCATCTAACCAGTAAAGCTCAAGCTGAATCCAGCCTATAACCTATCCCCGGATTTTGCTGTGGTTATTCTAGACGCAACTGAGGTGGTTTACCGCGATATTTTTCTTTCTCAACATTAGCACTGTTTTGCGTATGTTGAGCCTTTCGGTAGAACCAACGTGGGCCATCGATAAGAGAAAAATCCATACGATAGACCAAGTTTATTGTTATCGTAAATGGAGCCGAACATGTTCTCAGGCTTAGGCTAAGATTGTTGACCTCGAGCTTTTGATGGGGATGTATGAACAGGTGATGGCTTCATCTGCAGCTCGAAATCAAAATTAGTAGCGTTGTTTATTGCAGCAAAAAACCAATTCTGAAGCCTTTACAAACTAATTGGATAAGAAAGGTCGTGTTCAAGAATGTTTGTGTTGGAACTCGGTTTGGTGAAAGAGAAAGATGCCCTGGATAATATCTCAAAAAAAAAAGTTGGTCGGTCCTTTCTCCTGAATTCCCTAATGTGATCCATAGGTCTGTCTCAAGAAAAGATAGATTGCTGTCCTACATGAGTATAAAAGTCCAAGTTGAAGACACCGCAATCTATACTTTATTGTCGCGCTTTCTGGTCTTGATTTGATGCTACAAAATCTTGATCACTACCAATCTTAATACACGCAGATTGCTATGGATACAGAATTCCTCGGCCGCGTTCCAGCTGGGCTGGATAGCATTCGGGAGCTCTCGGAAGAGGAAAATAGCATTAATATTCAATTGACTGATGACGAAGATGAACCATCGTGTTCAGAAACCGAGTCTGACAAAGCATTCGTTGTTCCGGATGATATTCAATTAATCAATCCGGAAGATGATTCTGATTATGAACCTCCTGATTGCGATTACGAGCAATCGACGCAGACTTCCGATGAAAGCGAGGTCAGTCATCCATTGAAGCTTGGAAATATATCACTAATATCAACCAAGGATGATACCCTCAATCCAGAGATATTGGGTAGAAGAAAGGTTTACCGACGACGACACTCAGTCACTCAATATCAAATCAAGATATGGATTGATGGAGAACACATCGGATTTTTGTTTGACTGGATGCGAGCCTTTCAGGAAGCGGATAACGAGAGCACACCTTTGGCAAATCAACCCAAATCTGTGGAATGTTGATTGCTTGAACATCACAGGATAGTTTTAGTAGTGTTGGAGGACCCTTTTTTTCATGATATTGTGTTGTAACCAACGCAGCTGCAGCTCCACATCAATATACCCATGAAGGAAGAAAAGAGCGGCAGGCCCACAAAGCGAGAGCTTTCCTGATATCCGAGATTGTCGCAAACATCCGAGATTCGTCACGTTACAGACCAGAAACTATTCCTTTCTTAGTAACCTGATAACTTATTGTATTAATGCTTGTCTGCTTTTAGAGAGCACTAAATAATCAGTACAACCAATCCAATACAACAACGTTCATCTGGGCAATCTTTGCTTTGGCCGTTAATATGGTAACAGCATTTATTTTCCATGGATAATGAGCTTGTGATAACCACTATAGATTCCTGCTCTCGTCATTCATCCAGAAGCATTTGCTCATTGGAACAAAAATATTATGAGCTACTAACATAGCATTGAAGCGCTATGTGCAGATTGTACGCGCTAACTGGTATATAGAAACCCTATGCTGTGGATTCGCATACCCCAAGTCATTAAAATGATCTTACTACGGTACCCTGCCTAGCCTGTGACATACAGGAGAATTCGAAAACAGATTACCCCTGAGACACACACGTTTTCTTTCCCAGCACACTCCAATCGCGCTAAGCTGAAATCGGCCATAGAAAGTCCCCACACGAAAATTGAACTGCTACCCTGCTGGTCCAGACCTCGGAACGGTCTCTAGGTCTAGATCTACGGAGACAGCGGTACAGTATGTATGTATGAATGGATGGGTGATTTCATTACGCTAATCTCTTCCCTTTTGGCGATATGCAGCCTACCACTATGATGGATTGCAAAAGGTGGCCGCACATGGAACACAAGTATAATATCTGCTATGTGTTGCATTGTATCTACGACTGAACATTCGAGTCTTGCTCTCGTCTACTCTCTGCCAGAACATGATTGGAATCTCTAAGGACGAATCTGGCCTCCCATTTTTTCTCTCCCAGCATAATGATACGCTGAAGCTTAGTTATATTCTCGGCGGTCGACGATGTGTTGAAAAGATATGTAACTAGGTATCAAAATTATTCGTAAAGATACGTATATGAATAACCGCTCAAAATATGCAAATCAGCAGTGAGAAAAATGTACTGCACGAGGCTTTCCAAGTTGGAACTCAGGTATTTACATTTACTAGATTCCCACACTTGCGATGAACGATAGTAAATCACGGAACTTCCAATTCAGTGGAGCATCCTGACCAAGTTGCACCGCTGCGCCCAAAGCGCCTTGGTCTTCCCGGGGCGTATGCTGATTGCTGTTTGCTTCTCGCACGCAACGTTTAGAGGTCTCTTGGGTCTCACAAGAAGTAGTGAGACATTCATCTCTCTGTTGCGCTTGACCAGAAATTATGCGCTTGCTACTTTTTTTCGCTGTCCGCTTGGCAATGTAATCTGCAGGGGTTTTCCGGGTAATAGGCAAGCCTTGGATTCTCTGCAAAGACATATCAGCGGTGAAACGCAGTTCTTGGTCCTGTCACATACAGCATCGATCTCCTTTGGCCACACTGCTTCTTCCTCTGTAGTAAAGGTATGGATTCGCCCGCTTGGCATTCGCATTGCCATCCATATGTCAATTCCATAACGGTCATTAAACTCTGTCAATCTCTTGAAGAGATTGTGCCGTCGTTTCCGTATTAGTTCTTGCTCCCCCCGACGGTCCAATAGTGATAATGTTGTCTTGGCGTGCTGTCTCGACATTTTAGTGATGCATAAATAAGTCGATGTTGAATTGCATTCGACTTGCAAGTTTTTATACTTCAGTTCCATAGTTTGCAATCCAGGACAAGGAGGCAATATGCGAGTGATGGTTGGAGACCATTCTTGCAAAAGGTAACCGCATATGGAACACATGTAATACGGAAGCATTTCCATCCGTTCAAACGTTCAACGCGGTGATGTCTTGGCGAGCACAACCCCCGTTTATCTGTCTCTGATTACATTTTTGGCTAGTTTTCCCGCCCATGAGTGCAAATAGGTTAATTACCCAAAGATGGTGATATCTGGTTCCATTTTCAACACCGCCAACGCATTGAGGCCATATGCTGCTAATAGGTTGTTTTTGAAACTTGATCTCGATTTTAAGGCAATCGTCCCATATGGTTTAAACGGGAAAAAACCCCCACCCAAGAGAATGCTACAGATTCTAGATCGTTGGCCAGTTCATATCCGAGAATTATGGCTGCAGTGCTGGGATAAGGCAACAGAACAGAACAAAACGAAAAGGAATTCATACAAGCTGGGCCCAAAATAAAGCATATTTGGTAGGTAAGAGAAATTTCCTTTGCACTCTCGCTCGTTAACCGGGAAGTTTACAGTGACTACCGACCTTGCCTTCCATGTTGGGAAATATGTATACTTACAGCTCGCCAAAGTCGCAGGTCGGGTTTCGACCCCGGACCCAAAACCCGCCAAGAAAATTAGATAGCAGTACTATATACGTGTTTACACGATTTTCTATATGGTAAAGGCTGTATTGTAATGGTAATTCTGTAATATACACGCTCATGGGTCCTTGGCAGGTCGTCGCTAAACCCGTGAGTACCCAAAAAACCAATATGGCGAGGTCTAGATATACTCTTTTATACCCCAATCACATGAAGCGCTAAATCTAATATCCATCGAGTATAAATTACCAGTTTTGTTTGTATATGGTAATAATACGACTTGTAACATGATTACTCATGCTGTGCCCGGAGCAAGTCTTTAAATACGAAAACCAAGAGGCCATGTTCCTATAGTAAGTATTGAGATATATACGGTGGTTACTCATCATGCTTGTGCCGCATCAACTGCCTCTATAACAATCCCTGCAATATCGACATTCTTCCACGAAGCTGCGACAACCTCGAATATCCATGGTTTTGCTTGCTTCATAGCTTCCAGACAGAAAATGTCCTCCGCTGCTACATCTGCCGCAGGATCAACAGCTGCAAGAACTTTCCATTGCCGCCAAAACCATGTACGTCGATACTTGGTAACAATCTTTTTCTTAGTGAATGATCCTTCTATAGCAGCTTCAGGCGAGTAAGCTTTCCGTGCGTAAACTTTGATATCTCTTTTTCTTTTCAAATCCTGAAAGAGTCTCGGCGGATTGTTTTCCTCTGCCACAATAAAGGAAATACAAGGTCGTTGCCAGGCGTCGTACAATTTGCCTTCATCTCCTCTCTTGCGTTTACGTAAATATGGTTGAATACCCCACGTAAAAATTCGCCGTTCATGTAGCTTCAACAGAGAAGGAACAAGGCTATGTGTCTCCTCTTCTATGGGGCCATAATGATAAGGAGACGATGAGATTTCACCTCGGAGGAACTTCTTATTCAACTCGAGTAGGTCAGTAAAATCAGTCGAGTTACTCCAATCTTGGTCGTCTTGTGGGAGCTCGGGCATAGTGGATGTTGAGTTTAGTATCATGAATTAGAGAAAGGAACTGATATTTATATAGTACTAAAAAGACAGAACTGGTGAGTTGGACTAGATTATTTCTTTCAATCTCTTTTCATTCTTGAACTATGTGTTTGGGAAGACGTAAGAAGGTACTGATACTCTAAAAGGGGGTGGGGTTATTCCACGCAAACGGGAGTCGGATTGAAGGGAGATGAGAAAGAACAAATTCAAAATACAGTATGTAACGACAGCCAAACTCACATGCATTAACTAAGAAATGAAAACGTCCCATTTCATCACTACGGAGTAAGAAAAGAGCAGAAATGTCGTGTCGAGTATAAAGAAGGGATGATAAAAGGTGTCTGCTTTGGTGTCAACTAAGACTATAGCCGTCAGGTCGAGATGGGTCACCCGTGGGACCCCATCGAAAACAATATGGGTCGGCAAACAGTGCAAACATAGGAAGAAACGTGAGTGCATATTTTATGTAGTTCTAGGCTGTATTCTTTGTATCTCTCTTACAGGTAGAGCTTAGAATATATGTCAATTGGCCTCGATTTTGAATTTAACACTCCGATCTCTTATATACAGCCAATGATACGCCCAGTTCTCATCATCTTGTCTTGGGCGCTTCCAAGCTCTTACTGATGCACACATCTGAGTGCTTCCCTCCTCAGATTCAAGTAGTGGAGCACCAGCCTCATCTTTAGAAAGTTTGGTCGTGGATGGTAAACGCGAGACGGTGAATCATCACGAGAAAGGCCAGCTTCGAGATGTCACGCACGAAGAGGTCCGACTCAAGCGCTTTTAGTGCAAATCTAGCCGGTCATAGAGGGAATACTGCCATTTTCGTTCCGGAGCATGATCTATAAGTCTGAAGTAGGTAGTTTCACCATGTCCTTGGCGGGGACCTCTTGATCATTCGGTGGATGGATTTAATCAGGGTACCTACCGCAGCAGGGACCTATTGTCAATTTGACGGTTCTAGTCGCCACATGCCAAAATAGATCCAGACCATGACCCCGTTCTATGATCTGGTTCAGGGGGGTAGCAGCTCACATTTTCCTTTAACCCACAGGAGACAGTTGAATTTGCCCAGGTAGAGCTATTAGTGTGACCAACACCTTCGTTGGATATGCATCAGATAACTAGCCATCATCAGTTCAAGGCTGCGAACGGAATCACATCGGACAGGGTTTCCGTGTTAGTGTGTGGTTACAGCAGGGAGCCCCGTTCGGCGGTCGGACTTGACCAGGGTGCCTCTAGAAGCAGGGAACCCCCTATATAATAGCCGCATGAGCAGATCGTGTGATAACAGCCCAACGCCGTCTTTATTAATGAGAAATTCAGCACTGTAGATTTTCCTGTGATTTGATTATACTTCACAAAATGTCTCCCAGTCCGACAGTATCCAGTATCTACAGTCGATCGATAGGATCGCCGAAATTGGACATTCAGCTGGTTCACAATCGAACCAGTTCCTCGGTGTCATCTGAGCCTGACTGTCCCCAAATCACGCTGGCCGATCATAAAGTTGGAGACGCTAGGGGTTTTAGCACCGCCTTGGAATCTACCGGCAGCCGGTTACAAATCGCAAAACATTCCACACCTCAATCAAATTGCGAATACCAGAAGATCCTTGCGGATGAGCTGACCGGCATTCAATGGGAAAATGAGTTTTATGGGGAGTGCACTGAGATCTATGAAGAACTGGTGCTAGCCACTGTAAAGGCGTCGCAGAATTTGTCATCTCAGTCCCAGTCGCGTCTGTTGGATTATTATTTTGAGCCGTACACATGCCCACCCAAAAATGACTTTATTCTTCAGGCCGTCCGAGATCTAGAAATTGCGCTGGGGGAATCTCAGTCCCGCGAAATTGCAGCGCTTGAGAAATGGGTAAAACATTGGGACCCTAAACCCGGTGAACGTATTTCAACTGCCTGGATCTGAAGCTGGTGGGGAAAGCTTGTCAGAATGGGAGGCTGTTCGCGGCCAGTGATTGAAACTTCTATTCAACAGTTGAATACACCAGAATTCGAAAACAGATTACAGTGGAATTCGACATCAGTTTTAACTCTACACTCCTGCGACTTGATTCGCGAACCCTAACCTGTAACACGCTAGTACGCATTTGGCCTAACCGTCGATCCTTGATTTCCAAGAATAGACGTTGCATTTACATGACGCAGGTGTGACCCTGCCCTGTGTATTTTACTCGAAGATGCCATACAGTGGTAATTCTGTGTTATGTTGTCCACCCCCAGCAGGAGCTCTCTGAGATATACCCAGTGCAGATACTAGGCGCATAGAAATGAGGGGTCCAGCCCCATTACTCGCAAGCACACCACATCTGCATCAAGCTGAAATGTCGCGGGGTCCGGCAGCCATGCATAAAAACCGCACTCCTCAAATTTGTAGAGAGAACTTATGTTTTTGATATACGGCCGAGTTTTCCCTAACATTCTGACTCCCACTTTTCAACCTATGGGTTCTACAGGCTTTTCAGCATGGTCATTGTAAAGTGAGAGGAAACAAACACAAGGAAACACATAAAGAAAACTATACATCTCGTTCCATCCTTTCAGGGTTCAGATAAGACCTGATCCATTCTACAGCCTAACTCAATCGATGCAAAAGATTCTGCCAGTATCACTGTAGCAGTGGTGAATAGTCAGATAGGGAGCACATCGCATGGTTGTCTAATGAAGCGCATTGAGTTGCTGTGTATCCATCGTATGGATATTAATAGTTACAGACCCTAAATCATATGGTTTTTGCCCACCTTACATTTCATGGTATTAAGGATTGTTAGGTGTCTCCCTTTGGTTGGTATGTTTGCACAAAGGATTCTACGAGGAAATTACGGTACTATAACAATGACCATTGTATTTACCAATGAATACAATACAGCACTACATTGGGAAGTGCTAAAATTAGGTTCGCGCGTCTCCACTTAGGTAGGGTACGGGAATCAAATCGGAAGAGTGTGGAGTTACAGCTGATTTCGAATTCTACCGTACCCCCGAGACGCACACGCTGTCTTTCCCAGCGCCTCACTCCGGTTGCGCTGAACTGGATTCGGTCAGAGATAGACCCACCGTTCTTCTCTCGAATGTGGCTTTGGTAGGTCACCCAAATTACTGTAATTACGGTTTCCGGCAGCAAAAATAACTGCCGAAATGCTTCGTGGCCATACTGTATGGCCACCTTGTTATACTGGGTACAGCAAGATTAGGCCAAGGAGTGCTAGAATATTTTAGCTCGCTGAGTTGCAAGTTTTGGCAGCACCGCTAGCGTAATGTCTGTACTGCCGTAATATACCGTGGAATCGCTTGAGGATCTGGGCCAAGGTCGCCCGCTACTTTTTCCTCTTTCCTAGCCGCAGTTTTGCCCCTTTCCCCTCGCATATTCCTATACAGTAGAATTCGAAAACAGTTTACCCCTCAAGCACACACTATTTGTTTCTCGGGCTCGCTTAACAGAAATGTTGCTTCAACGCAACGTTTTGTTGTCAATGAATGGTGGAAGTCCAAATTGGCGGCAGAGGTATGAACTAAGCGAGCAAGGGTCACACCCCTACCAGTTCAATGCTCGGATTTGACCAGGAGACATGCAACAGCAGGGATCCCCTGTACAGTAGAATTCGAAATCAGTTTGCCGCCCGCTCAATGATTTATCTGCGCTAAGGCCTTGGCGGTGGGGCCAGAAAAGAGTGATGAAGAGTGTATTGGTCAAGCCGATTTCGAGAACGACTGTACCCCTCAGGCAGACACACTTTGTTTCTCGGCTCGTACCCAAAACCAGTTTAGTCTTTATTCGGATAAGCGGTATAATAATCACCTATTGCCAAGTTTTGTCACCCCCCTCTCAGTTTAGTCCTTGACTTAGTCAGGATACATCCAGTAACAGGGACCCTCTGCTAGTGAGTTCGGCAGACACACTTGTCTGTCCAGTGACGGCCATTCTACAGTAGACTTTGAAAACAGTTTACCCCTTAGGCACACACGGTGGCTGGAGAAACTGTCAAAGAGTGTAGGTGGTTGCACTAGTTTCGGAACGTACTGTATTGGTTGGACGTTGACCAGGGTGCCTATAGCAACAGGGGCCCCCTGTCAATTGCCCGTCAGTTCGGCGGTTGGACGTTGATCAGGGTGTCTACAGCAACAGGGGCCCCCTGTCAATCCCCTGTCAGTTCGGTGGTTGGACGTTGACCAGGGTGCCTACAGCAACAGGGGCCCCCTGTCAATCCCCTGTCAGTTCGGTGGTTGGACGTTGACCAGGGTGCCTACAGCAACAGGGGCCCCATGTCAACCCCCCATCAATCGGACGTTAACCATGCTGCCCGCAGAAACAGGGACCGGACCCCTGTCACCCCCCTGTCAGTTCGGTGGTTGGACGTTGACCAGGGTGCCTACAGCAACAGGGGCCCCCTGCCAATCCCCTGTCAATCCCCTGTCAGTTCGGTGGTTGGACGTTGACCAGGGTGCCTACAGCAACAAGGGCCCCCTGTCAATCCCCTGTCAGTTCGGTGGTTGGACGTTGACCAGGGTGCCTACAGCAACAGGTGCCCCATGTCAACACCCCATCAATCGGACGTTAACCATGCTGCCCGTAAGCGGCCAAGTCGAGCGACCTGCTCTAAGATTGCCTTACCTTGCAGAAACAGGGACCGGACCCCTGTCACCCCCCTGTGAGTTTGGTAGTTAGTGATTGGGCTTGACCAAGGTGCCTGCAGCAAGAGGGACCTCCTATCACCCCCATGTCAGTTCAGGCGGTTGGACTATACCAGGATACCTACAGCAGCAGGAATCCTCTGCGAGTTACTTCGGTACAGTAGATTTCGAAAACGGCTTCCCCTTAGAACACTCACGGCTTGTTTCTCGGCCCGTACCCGGAACCACACTAGTCTAAATTAGGACTAGTGGTAAGCTAACATGCATTGTGAGCCAAGGATGATCAATACCAAATCCAAATTCGAACTAGTGTGGTTTCGGGTACGGGACGAGAAACAAGCCGTGAGTGTTCTAAGGGGAAGCCGTTTTCGAAATCTACTGTAGACACTATTGTCTGTCCAGTGACGGCGATCCTGCTCAACATACGATAGCAAAGGTACCAAGCTCCCCAGGCTCAACGCATGTAAAATTTCCGGGAAAGTTTCATTGCCCAAAGACCAAGCGTGGTGACATTGCCTCAGCTACAGTAGAATTCGAAATCAGTTTTAACTCCACACTCTTACGATTAGATTCCCGCACCCTAAGTGGAGACACGCTAATCTAATTTTAGCTCTTCCCCTGCTAATCCATGTAGGGCTGTATTGTATTCACTGGTAATCACAATGAGTCATTGTTATAGTACCGTAATTTCTTGTAGAAACCGATAGAATCCATCGTGCAAACAGATCAAACAAAAGGGAATCCTAACAATCATCCTGGCAATACGCGGGGAGAATCTGCTACCGCTGCCCTCGCTGGAAACGGGAAACCTGAACAGGTGCCACCCCACGGGGAGACCAACCTGTCCTCCTGAAGCCAGCCCGCTTCTTCACAGCCTGATTCAGGTGATACGAGCGGAAATATGCCAACTGATACAGAGAGTAATCTCTCAGATCTGCGTTTCTTTCTTGTGCTACCCGTCGAGCCACTTTCTTGGTCCAACCATGCGATCGAAGGGCCCGACTGATAGTGTACGTGGATACGAGCACGTCGAATTCATCGTACAAGAACTCTGCCATCTCATCCAGGTATAAATCCGGTTTCTCTAGCAAGTGGTCGCATAGCGCTTCGAGCATGACGGGCGTGATCACACCAGAACGGCCGCCAGGGATTAAGGGTGCTCGGACATCGCCAAACATTCGGAGGTTTGCACTGATGGTTATGATGGAACGTTTGTTGTAGCCAGCCGCTTCGGCCATCTGAGAAGCAGAGAGATTTGCTGCTGATCATATCGCGGACCATCACAAGCTGGGAGGATGTAAGTCGAGGCGCCATAACGGTCTTTGTCGTGCTGTCAACCGAAGAAGTTGATGAGTGGCCAATGGTGCAGGGCAACGAGTTGGGTCTGGGTCGGTTCGGGCCGACAGTCGAGCCGACAACCAGTGCCCACTTGACAGGTTCCGCGTATGTTCTCTTGAGCATGATAGGATTAGGTCGTGTACTTCACCTTGAATATATGTCAATCCTCACTTCTTGTGCACTACTATAATTGCATCTTTAGTCTTGGCTTCTTACTAGAGGAACATATGATTAGTCACATTAGCGCCTGAAATGCACTCCGGATCACAGCCTCGCGCCCGGCGTCTAATTTACCCCTCTTATCTCGCCAAAAAAGCCCAACCTAAAATCGAACCCGAGCTTTTACACTTGCGTCGCCATCGTACCTACCTACGTGGGATTTTATGCCGTGTCCTTCCAAATGGATGGTTTATCCTCGGCGGCAAGCGTTATCGCCGTCATTCAGCTAACGGGAACTCTCGTGAAGCTTTGTGGGGGCTACATTCAAGAGGTGAAAGATGCACGAGACGAAATTTTAACCCTGCAGCGGGCGATTGCAGGCCTTCAAGGGACACTCCAAGACCTGCAGAGATTTCTTCAAAGTAACCACGGAAAGGCCCTACCTACCTCCTCACGACTAGTTAGCAATTTTACCGATTGCCTCTCCGACATCCGAGCCTTAGAAGCGAGACTTGATCCAGGAAAAGGAAAGAAGCTGATGAGAAAAGTGGGATTACGAGCCTTAAAGTGGCCCCTGAAACGCACAGAGGTGGAGAGCGTTATTCACAATCTCGAGAGATATAAATCTTCATTCCTCTTGTCTTTGCAGGTGGATCAGAGGTATGTTTATCGAGCACGCTTATATGACTCTGTATCATTGACTTGAAGATTGTATAGCTCTCTGATGGTCGGCGTGGTCGACAATACCGATCGTATTAATCAATATATGGATCTTGGGAAGTTGGAAGGCGCACCGGAGGCAGTGTTTGGGTCATTCTCCGATCGAGACGAAGTCCAATGTCTCCAAGGTACTAGGACCGAGCTCCTCCAGCAGATAATGGGATGGTCTATGTCACCGTCCCAAAAAAGCATTTTCTGGTTGAAGGGAATGGCTGGGACAGGAAAATCCACAATATCTCGGACTGTGGCAAGGTCGCTCAAGGACGCCAACCAGCTAGGTGCCAGCTTCTTCTTTAAGCGGGGCGAAGGGGACCGAGGGAACGCGAAGAGGTTTTTCCCGACATTAACAAGGCAACTGATGCTCAAAATCTCTGGTATGAGGCCCGGCGTGCAAAAGGCACTCGACCATGACCCTGACATTGCGTCAAAATCGCCTAGGGAGCAGTTTGAGAAACTACTCCTTCAACCGCTGCTCAATGTTGACCAACTTGGCCCGCAACCTCAAACCGCTGTGATGGTGATCGACGCTTTGGACGAATGTGAACATGATGAAGATGTCCGAAACATAATTCAATTACTACCTCTTCTACAGCAAGCCAAAGCGGTTCGCCTTCGGATCTTCTTGACTAGCAGGCCTGAACTTCCAATCAGCCTCGGCTTTTCAGAGATCGCGGATCATGAATATCAGGATCTAGCTCTTCATGAGATTCCCGAAGAAGTGACAGAATATGACATACGCTTATTCCTACAGGACCGATTTACGAAGATCAAACGCGACAGGTGCATTGCCCCTGGCTGGCCTGGCGATGACGTCATCCATGAATTGGTCACGATGTCCGTTCCACTTTTTATTGCGGCTGCCACTGTGTGCCGGTACATCGAAAACTCAAAATGGGAGCCCAAATCGCGCCTCGCGGAGCTTCTGAGTGACCAAGCTAAATATACATCAAAATTGGATAAGACATACCTGCCAATTCTGACGCGCCTACTGAACGATCAAGAGATTGATGAGCCGGAGCAGCAGCAGCTCCTGCAAGAGTTCCAGCAAATAATCGGTGTCATCATCCTTCTTGCTGTTCCGCTTTCTATAAATACGCTATCGCTGTTTCTTGGGATAGAAGCAGACCAGATCAGTTTCAGATTAGATTTATTCCGATCAGTTCTAAGCATTCCTAGTGACCGAGATCAGCCTGTTAGGCAGTAGATTTCGAAAACGGATTCCCCTGTGGACACTGGCGCATTGTTTCTCGGCCTGTACCCGAAACCACCCTAATCTGTATTAGGCTAAACCGAAACTAATTATGTCCTAAGAATAGAATAGCTATAAATTTCAGAACCGTTTCATTACATATTATATTGTATATTACATGAAACAGCTATACACTGCCCCTCTATGCCTAACATTCCATCATTTTGCAGCACCACCTTTTCAGTGGAATCATATGCACAATATGGCACCGAATCTACCTATGTCAACGCTATGTTTTATTCATGATATGATACAAAGTGATTCACTAACAACGTCTCAAATGGCTGACGCAGCTGAGTGTAGCGAAAAGACTATCAAAAATACTCGCAGAAACCTGCGACTGTTTGGACAAGTTCATGCCCCCTCAACTCGTATCGGTCGGAGACGAAGCATAACACCATCCATGTTAGAAGCGCTCTGTGACCATCTGTTGGAAAAACCAGGCTTGTACCTCGAAGAGATGGTTATCTTTCTATGGGATGAATTCCAGATGCTAGCGTCAACCTCTAGCATTAGGAGGGCTCTCGTATCCAAAGGGTGGTCTAAAAAGTCTGCTCGGCAGAGTGCGAAAGAGCAGAACGCCGAGCTACGAGAAATATATCTTCATAACCTCTCTGATTTTGAGTCGTACCATCTTGTTTATGTTGATGAATCTGGATGCGATAAGCGCATTGGGTTCCGACGAACAGGTTGGTCACCACTCGGTGTAGCACCTCGGCAAGTGTCTCAGTTCCACCGCGCTATCAAATTTTGCCTGCGTATGCCCAAGATGGTATTTTGATGAGTCGAGTCTTTCGCGGCTCGACGGATGCCGCTATGTTTGAAGACTTCGTTGATGAGCTCCTTCGTCATTGCAGGAGATGGCCAGAGCCAAAGTCTGTTCTGGTCATGGATAATGCATCGTTTCACCACTCCGAGCGGATTTCGCAGATGTGTGCTAATGCGGGAGTTAAACTGGTGTATTTGCCTCCGTACTCGCCAGACCTAAACCCGATTGAAGAGTTTTTTGCTGAACTCAAAGGCTTTATACGACGCAATTGGTGCTACTACGCAGAAGATCCAGACCGAGAATTCGCCTCCTTTCTCGAACGGTGTATCAATCAGGTTGGGGCAAAGAAAAACAGTGCTAGGGGCCATTTTCGGCACGCAGGCCTTAGTGTTGAGAATTTAGATAATTGAACCATACAGTAACATGAAGCGATCGATCCTACATTCAAACCCATCTCATTATCATCATCTGCCTTCGGCCGCCCGTGCGGACCAGTACGGTGCCACATAGACCAACAACGTAGGCCATGTGACCCGTAATGAGCGATCTTTATCTCAGAAGTACTCTGTGGTTCCATTACGTAGCGATTTCTTCACTAAGCAGCCTCTGTGGCAAAAAGCTAGCTATTCACATGGATTAGCGACTCTATTAGGTACTACTAGAATTTTATGGAATATTCCGCAAGCAGGATAGAGCCGTATAAAGTATCCCCTTCTCCCATGCCCTTCTTTTATAAAGGGATTAGAAACTAGAGGAAAGAGAAAAACAAAAATGATTGAGTATTACATACTAAATCCAATAAAGGAAACCCGCCCTGATGCATGTCCTAGGGCAAGTACATTACCGTTTATCTTGAACCTACTAGGTCGAGACTCGATAGGAAGCCACAGAACCCTTTTGCCATTCAATGCTATCCACTGGCGGTGCTCAATAGAGATGCTTGGAGCCGCGTGAGATGGATGGGGCGTAGAGGAGAGGGCCACTGAATCAACCGAATCTGAATGGCCTTCGAGGGTCTGGGAGAGCGCGCCCGTCGCTGGGTCCCAGAGCCGCACTGTCTTATCCTCAGAGCCGGACGCTAGTAGGCGGCCGTCGGGCGAGAAGGCCACTGATCTAACCGGATCTGAATGGCCTTCGAGGGTCTGGGTGAGCGCGCCTGTCGCTGGGTCCCAGAGCCGCACTGTCTTATCATAAGAGCCGGACGCTAGCAGGCGGCTGTCGGGCGAGAAGGCCACTGAATCAACCCATTCTGAATGGCCTTCGAGGGTCTGGGTGAGCGCGCCCGTCGCTGGGTCCCAGAGCCGCACTGTCTTATCCCAAGAGCCGGACGCTAGTAGGCGGCCGTCGGGCGAGAAGGCCACTGAAGAAACCGCTTGTGAATGGCCTTCGAGGGTCTGGGTAAGCGCGCCTATCGTTGGGTCCCAGAGCCGCACTGTCTTATCCCAAGAGCCGGACGCTAGTAGGCGGCCATCGGGCGAGAAGGCCACTGAATCAACCGCTTGTGAATGGCCTTCGAGGGTCTGGGTGAGCGCGCCCGTCGCTGGGTCCCAGAGCCGCACTGTCTTATCCCCAGAGCCGGACGCTAGTAGGCGGCCGTCGGGCGAGAAGGCCACTGAAGAAACCGCTTCTGAATGGCCTTCGAGCGTCTGGGTGAGCGCGCCCGTCGCTGGCTCCCAGAGCCGCACTGTCTTATCCCCAGAGCCGGACGCTAGCAGGCGGCCGTCGGGCGAGAAGGCCACTGAATCAACCGCTTGTGAATGGCCTTCGAGGGTCTGGGTGAGCGCGCCTGTCGCTGGGTCCCAGAGCCGCACTGTCTTATCATAAGAGCCGGACGCTAGCAGGCGGCCGTCGGGAGAGAAGGCCACTGAATCAACCACTTCTGAATGGCCTTCGAGGGTCTGGGTGAGCGTGCCTGTCGCTGGGTCCCAGAGCCGCACGGTCTTATCCCAAGAGCCGGACGCTAGTAGGCGGCCGTCGGGCGAGAAGGCCACTGATCTAACCCATTCTGAATGGCCTTCGAGGGTCTGGGTAAGCGCGCCCGTCGCTGGGTCCCAGAGCCGCACTGTCTTATCCCCAGAGCCGGACGCTAGCAGGCGGCCGTCGGGCGAGAAGGCCACTGAATAAACCCAATCTGAATGGCCTTCGAGGGTCTGGGTGAGCGCGCCCGTCGCTGGGTCCCAGAGCCGCACTGTCTTATCCCTAGAGCCGGACGCTAGCAGGCGGCCGTCGGGCGAGAAGGCCACTGATACAACCGCACCTGAATGGCCTTCGAGGGTCTGGGTGAGCGCGCCCGTCGCTGGGTCCCAGAGCCGCACTGTCTTATCCCCAGAGCCAGACGCTAGCAGGCGGCCGTCGGGCGAGAAGGCCACTGAATCAACCCAATCTGAATGGCCTTCGAGGGTCTGGGTGAGCGCGCCCGTCGCTGGGTCCCAGAGCCGCACTGTCTTATCCCCAGAGCCAGACGCTAGCAGGCGGCCGTCGGGCGAGAAGGCCACTGAATCAACCCATTCTGAATGGCCTTCGAGGGTCTGGGTGAGCTTGCTCCATCCTTCCTCAACTTGTGGTAACTGACATATCCAAGTGGGAAGCGACCGTTTGAACTCTCTACGTATTATCCCCGTTCGGGGTGCAAATACAAGTCCTGCGCAATAAACTTGAAGGGGGGCCTGATCAACTATCTGGCGATTCTTCAGAATAAAGCGCTTTGCATCGTGAATGAAATCTGAAATCAGAGAAGAGTCGTTACCCTAAATCTGTCAGAGCATATCATCTATGATTATCTTCGGAACTTACCGATATGGCCGTTTGGAGCAGATCAAGAATACCTGATACTGCTGACGTAAGGCGCAGTAGGCTCATTGCTTCCACCCAGTGCAAAAAGTGCACCTGGAGAAATCGATAAACATTGTGCATCATGCTAGCCAAGTCCGTGCATTGTACCAGATGATGTGCCCAGTATCGACAGGCGTATTTCAGTTCGGGAGTTATATAATGCTGAATCGAATCATTGCTAATTTCATTCCATTGTATGCCTTCGCTTGGCAGTTTGCAGATATTTTTCTCTAGGCTGTCCTGCATGATCTGACGGCATCGTTCTGCAAGACGCTGGTTTGCGTACTTTCCATTGATCCAGAATTTGCTTTCGTCTTCGCGGTGACCCAAGAGAAAATCTCGGAATGACAGATGGAGGATCCTGACTGGTGTGTCGAAATTGTTTGGTACACTGAGTACCGAGTGGAGCTGGTCTAATCGACATTTGACATCATCTGACTCCCTGTCTATTAGGTGGCTAAGGGAGTTGATCGAGAGCGGAGTGGCAAGAACAATGATCACCCCGACTATCTCCTTGAACTCTTCGAGTAATTTCCGTGACTCTGTTTCATTCTGGCCAGTGAGAAGTTGCTTTAGCACGGGAACATAGGTGCTGTCCATCTTAGACACATAGGTTGATTGGTCTGTCAATATCGCATCAAGTCTCTTTTGAGGGTTCCATTTTACATCACTGATAAAACGACATATGGTAGCAGCTGCAATGAACAAAGGGACGGCCCTATCAACCAATATCTTGGTAGCTGCGGCTCCGGGCCAGTCTGGTGGAAATGAGCGCCTCTGTTTTAGGCGTAGGAACTGATCCTCAAAATACAAGGATATGTCATGCTCTATCACTGGCTTTTCGATCTCATGGAGGACTAAATCCTGGTGGGCATCGGTGATCCCTTCGAAGCCCAGCCTGATCGGCAACTCAGGTCTGCTTGTCAATACAAACCGTAGTTGCACAGAAGTTGACTTTCGAACTTGTGGCAAGAGCCGGAGAATAATCCCTATATCATCTTCTGAATCGCATTCATCTAGAGCATCAATCACGATCACTCTTCTTATGGTCTCTTCGTGCTGCTCAATACCAAACAGTGGATCCAGTAGAAGCTTTTCAAATTGTTCTCTCAACACCTTTTCCGAAATATTAGGGTCATCGTCAATTGCCTTTTGAACTCGAGGCAGCATTTGAGGTACTCTGTTGACCATTTGCTCGGTCAATGTTGGGAAAAGCTTTTTTGCTGTCCCTCTGTCCTCTTCACCTCTCCGAAAGAAGAAAGTGGCCCCGAGAAGCTGCTGCTCCTGAAGACGGCTTGCAACTGTTTGGGAGATTGTTGATTTCCCTGTCCCTGCCATGCCGTTCAACCAAAAT